TCAATGATACGAACAAGCACAAAACTCTTTGGAAACGGCACTCTACTAGGACTACAACTAGATTCTGACCGAGTTACTTAAAGACACCAACTACCACGGGGCCAGAACATAGCAAGCAGAAATTTGGGGGGGACGTAGCTTAGGAGTTCTAGTTAATGCAGTTCCCTTTCCTTGCCTTGCTCAATTCTTCTCTTTTACAACTTTTCTGCAACTATTACCTTCAGTATACAATAACTTTTGAGAGGCTAGAGCTTTTGACTACTTCACTGCGGTTGGTTTGTCATGTGACTTGTTTTGGTCCTCCACTGGGAAGTCTGGGAACAGAACAGCTATAAAAGCCAGGCCCTTGGCTCTGCATGTAGACTCTCAGTTAGAAGTGAGTGGGAATATTTCAGTGGTGAGTAGGCAGCTTTTTGGCATTAGGGGAATTTGTTAATTTTTAATGAATTGTTTGGCCTGGGAATCTCATGTGTCCATGACTTGTAAGTACCTTTTACCTAAAGGGAGGCTAAATTACTGGGGGGGTATGTACTGACAGACCTCATTAACCCATGGTGGGAAAACACTGCTCTTCTACTTTTAGCACTGTGTATCTTATTGACAGCAGCTCTACATGAGCCTTAGGCAGACAGGTCCACACTGATGTTGTGGAAAAGATGCCTCTAGTGCCCTGACTGGGAAAGAAGCAAAGCTAAGAACCTTACACTTGAAGGGAGGCAGCAAATACAGGAAAATCTGGCTAATTAGTCAAATCACTGGGATAACTTGTCACTAGGGTCTTATTTAGTTAGGGCATTGAATCTCTGCCAGAGTCCTAATTCATTACCTGTAAAGTATAATTACTTAATTGCAAATGTACACACAGACTTGCTTACAATAGTTTGCTCCTAATAATTGGCTGACTTAAAAGGTACTGACCCTTGCCCTTTATAGCACCTATCAAGTCAGCTGATGCTCACAAAACACTAGATATCTTTCAGCTTTCTCTGGTTTTGTAAAACCTTGATAATCAATTATTTCATTTTGGAGAATTATCTTCTATTTTGGCAATGAGTGCATGTAAGCATGCAAAGCAAAAGTCTTTGACTGATTATTGTACTCCTGAACGAGTATGCAATTTGCATAGTGAGTACCCTGAATTCTAGTAAGATATATGAAGCATTTATCTGTATAACAAGACAATGCTCAATTAGCAAGCCAGAGTGCACAAAATTTGCCCTCATTTTTGTAACATTTTTTTCATTATAATTTTTTTTTAAATCACTCTCTCCTGAATCATTTTATAGCATTCAGAATACATTTCACAAGCAACTAAAAGTTAAAAATGGTCTACTACTGCTAACTGGTAATTTGTGGCTTATTAGTTAATGTTACCAACTACCTGGCAGTGAAGAATTAACCAGATTTTACTGTATATGTGGCAAAGGTTTCTGGGTAAGAAGAAGGAGGAAAAAAAAAAAAAAAAAAAGCAAAACAATTCTAGTGAAATGTCCTCAAAAAGATTTGCACAGAGGTCAAGAAAACATCCTATCTCTTGGCAGTCAGTGGGAAATAAAAGATAGGGCTTAAAATAAGAGAGAGGCTTTAAAAAGGAAGGAGAAACTCTCCATCAGGAGCTGCTATCTGGAGACCCCACTTTGGTATCTGTTATGGCCCACAGGCCTCCAAGAGAACTCCTGCTAGCTGTGTGTGTTCTTCCTTGGCCCGCTCCTAGGCTGCATGGTTACAGAGCAAGAGGACTCCCTCTAATACCTTACATTTTTAAATCAATGTCCAAGTATTTGTTAACCTGAACCCTCTTCACTTGGAACTAAAACTAACGGAAAACCAGGGACTGAATGTTGTGACTAAGGGGGCACCAATAAAGATTTTCTTGGCAGATACCAATAGCTGATTTTAACCAGCCATATTGGCTGATGCCGATCTAATAACCGATATTAACTACAGGCTGAGTCACGCTGGGGCGGGCCAGGCAGCTCAGCTCTGCCTTCCCCTCCACACCCCACCCCAATCATGTCTGTGGCATTTGGCACCTTTTACAGTGCCTTCCCCAGCCCCAGCCTGTGCCGTGCCAGCACCGGGGATACTGCAGCAGCTGTTCCACTCCTGTCCAGCCCACCAGTAAGGGGATGGGGGTGTATCCCCGGCTCCTGGGAGGAAACCTAAGCACCCAGGGGCCCCAACCAGAAAGCATAATTATCAGAGAACATTATCAGCTACAACAGCCAAAAAAAGCCTATAGGCAATAATGTAAAATTCCCTTTTATCAGTGCCAGTCCAATAGGCAACCAATATATCAGTGCACCTCTAGTTGTGACAAAAACTTATTTCTTTAATTTGGTAAGGCCTGGTCTAAACATAATATAATTATTTTACTTAAGGGTGAGAGGTTTTTCATTTTTTTCATGTTTTAACCAATATAACTATACTGATAAAGCCAGATGCTGTGAGGCTGGTATAAAAGTGCCTCAGATACTAGTACAATTTGTCCTTTTTTATCCCTAAGGAAATAAGCTATGCAGATAAAATTGTATTTATTCTGTTAAGCATACCCACCTAAATGAAAGGGGGATGTAAAATTTAATGATATGGAAACAACTTGGGTTAAATCAGCCTTAGAAGGCCCTAGGGGGTACGTGTGGGCAAGTAGGAATCGAGTGCCGCCACACACCATGCTGTGCTGCCATGCAGGTGCCACCCACCCAGCCAGATGTGGGGGGCAGGGGAAGCTTGCATGAGGCTACTGCCACCACTCCGCATTGGGCTGCGGGCCACCCCGCCCCCCACCACTCCATGTCCAGCTGCTAGGGGTACACTGATCCAAAAAGGTTGAAACCCCCTGGTTTACAGCATATGGTGGAGAAATATGAGAAACCGTTTTGCCTCCTACTGTAAGGACCAGTTGTAGGCTTCCTTGGGCCCACACCAGTGCTCCCCCAGGTACCCAGAGTGTCTCTGTCATTGCCTCTGTCAGTGTCTCTCTCTGTCCATCTGTGTCACTCTCAATCTCCCCCTGTACGTTTACTTTGGCTTGGCTGCCCTGGCTCAACCTTGGCCTCGCCTGGACTCCCTCCTCCTGTCTGTCTGTCTCTGTCTCCCTCTGTCCATCTGCCAGGGTCAGCCACGCTGGTTCAACCTTGGCCTCACCCAGCCTCTCTCTTATCTGTCATCCTAAAAAGAGATGGTGGAAAGGGAAAAAAGGCAACTTAAAATGCCATCAGGACACATGCACTGCCCAGTAAACGCCAGACTCTGTCTGGCTGTTGTATGGGCACACGAAAACCTCCTCACTCCTGGTTTTAACTCATCTTTCAACAAGATGGAATTGGTCTCTGTACACAGGAGAACATAGGCAGATCTGTTCCAATGTTTCCATGGGTGCTCGGAGGCAGGGTGAAACAGGACCAGCAACCAATAGGAAACAGGATATAGTCCCTAAAGACATGTAGTCATCAACATGTTCCCCCTCTGTGCTGAGACCCTGCTGAAGGCAGAATACCTCCTGGGACTTCCCAGAGGTAGACTGGCAGGGGGGCTCTGCCCCAACATGGAAGGATGCATCTTATGAGCTAGACCTTTATTTTGGTACTTAAAAAGGAGCTGTTCTCTCTTTGAATAATGTGGCCCTAAGGTATGTTTTTAACCCTATAAAATGCCAGAGCCTGGCTATTATGGCCATTTGTCATCTTTCCATTCCTCTTTGTTTTTCTTTAAACCAGTTAAGTTGCATGTTTGTTTAGTTCAGTGATGCTTAACCTTTTCTGTTGATGGGCTGGATGGGCAGTGCCCGGTCTGTCCATGGGCCAGATGTGACCTGCGGCCCTGATGTGGTGCTCAGGGTGGGCATGGCAGGGTTTTTTTTGTAACCATTTGGTTACAAAAAGGGAGTCAAGGGGCAGCCCAGCCTGACCTGGCCCTGTGGGGAGGAAGGGGGTGTAGCCTGGCCCCTACCCAGAGGCATGGAGAGGAGGTATGACCTGGCTCAGATCCAGCTATGCTGGAGGCATGGGAGTTTGGCAGCGGGGGAGAATCACCACTACTCCCCCACCACTACATTTTCCAACTCACAGGGAACCCTGTAGGCCAGATGCAATTGCTCCACAGGCTGTAGTTGGCCTACTGGCTGGAGGCTGAGCACCCCTGGGTTAGATAGTCAGAGCTCTGTGGCAGGGACTGTGTTTTCCAGAACCACCCAACACACTTTTGGCACCTGTAAAATAAATAATAAAGGAGAAAACACCAACTTGGTGTTTCTGAAGACGACAGCAACATTTCTTCCAATGTTCTGCCTGAGAAAGGAAAAGGAAAATGCGCAGCTTGCTGAAATGTTATTTCACTTGTGGCTCGGTCAAAAGATCTGTGTCAATCTGATAACAAGACTTCCTGTAGCCCATGCAAAGCTGGCAGAGATGTATTAATACTGACAAGCACAAATGTCCTTCTGGAGCTTTTGTTAAATGTTTGTTAATTGTGAACTGGGTAGCCATCGTTCTTAAGGAAACAGTACACAGTAGTTTAGAGCTAAAAATCAGGCTTTGCATGGGTCTCTCTACGAAGTTAAATGACTCAAATGTACCTTTAGATTTTTCTCTGAAAACTGCTTTTGTTTGCAAGCCCACTGAGAGAATGGCTAAGCCAATCCAGATTGTGCTAGTAGGGGTGAACCAGATAACAGTACAGATCAGAAACTGACCCCTCTGGTATAAATGAATCTGAGTGGTTTAGCTTTCCTTAACACAGCAAATGAAGGCAGGAGGGGAGGACACAAAAGAAAACACACATTTTAAAATCTGACGCTTGCTTCTTTCTTGGATTTAAAAAAAACTAGATCCTTAGATGGGGCCAGCTAACTAAGCTCCACTGAAGTCAATAGTTTTATGCCTGTTTACACCAGCTGCATACCTGGCTCACAACTTTTAGCCTATCGGTCTCTCTTTCAGGAGAAGGTTGTTAAACCAAAAACCCAACCTCAGTGAAACTCCCAACGTCTTGGCACATACCAGTGTTCCCTTGGATGTCCTCTCCCTTGTTTGAGAGGAAGGAGACTCTGGTGCAGTTGGTACCCTGACTCTGCTGCTGCAGAGTTGCATCTGTGAAGACAACTCCCCAGTCTATGTGGCTGATATCAGAGCGTGACCGGTTGTGCCCTGGCTTGAAAGTAGCGGCTTCCTCATTGTGCACCAGGATATCATTCACAGACCGGGGTCGGTCTCTCCTCCGCTGACAGATATTGAAAATGTTAAAACTGGAGGCCTCTCTCTGCTCCACCCAGGAGAGGTTGTCTGGGGCTATGCCCCTTTGTAGTGTAAATGATTCTTTGGCAGGGAATGCTTTCGGAGCTTTGGTTTCCAAGAGGCCATTCTTGCAGCCTTCCCAAATAAGGCTGCTTTTTGCTAAAGAAGCAACATTTCTCAGATCTCTGCTGTCTTTGATCTGATTGAACACTTCATGCCCTACCAGCTCGGGGACCTCCTGCACCCCATACACTTCAGATGGCTGCACTATCTTTTCGAGCTTGGTATCAAAACTGTTGAAGAAATCTTCAGTCACCTCCAAGGCTGGGCTGATGTCATCCACTTCTAGTGCTTCCATTTCCTATGTTGCAGAAGACCTGGGTCTTCAGTGATGCACTAGGAAGATACCGCGTCAATGTTCAGGCACAGAAGATAAAAGTGCTTCAGGAAAGTTCCTGGTACTGCTTTACCTTAGATTTGGGAGGCAAAACATGTGCTAACCAAAACTTTGCTGACAAAGATCCCCTGCAAAAAAGTCTGGCTTCAGATGGGCTGCTTAATTTCCCCAGGTTATGGTTCAGGGTTGTGTTGTTTATGCAGATGATGGGATTGTAGCTCAGCTGTTCAGTGAAGCTGGTTCATAGCAGTCAGGAACTCCTGTAAAGCAAAATGCTATTTTAATAAACCCTTTTTCAGGTGAAACTGTTTAGACCCCTAACTCTTCCCACAGCTGAAGCCCTCTATGTTTCAGGCATCAGTGTTACTATGAAGCCTACAGGGCTTCTGTTGTTCACTGAGTGGAGATCCTAATTCAAGGAGTGATAATATGTAAGCTGTACAGAGCAGGGTGGGGCACCAGATAAGGGGGAGCCAAAGTGATAACATTTGTTAGCCAGGATAAGCTTTTGAGAGCTACAGTGAAAAGTGGTATTTATCAGCTTTCTGTGACATCGCCATCTATGAAATGCTTGGTGCAGGCTTCTCTAAGGAGATCAGGGAAGCTTAAAAAAAGCCTGGAATTGGTTTAGAGACTCTTCCCTCTCCCACCTGGAGTGACTCGCTCAGAGTCCTCTCCTAAAGGGTGCTTTATGCTCAGTCTGGTATGTTAAAGGGCTAATCTATCACCAGGGAGCATACCCTGATCTTACCAGGTTCAGTTGCTGTGTCATTTTGAATTGACACCCATTCATAATGTTTGTGTTGTGGAGGGGCGAGTGCATTTAAAACTAATCCAAATCATTAGGAAACCTGGGCAAATTCTTGCAACCATCTAAGAATGCCTGGGTAGTTCTACTAGTATAAGTATGGGCCTTGCAACTGCTGGAGGACACGCATGATGACTCATAAAACTGTGCCTACGCAGACCAATGCAGTGCCGTGGAGAGACACCTGTACTACCTCCAAACTAGCCTGGGTACCAGAAGCAGGACAGCAGCATTACTATAGTACCCCTGCCTGAACTACTTAGGTCTGCAGGGAAGGGTATACTAGCTCAGGCACAGTGCCATGTTGACAGCTATACTGCTCAGCTAGCCCCAGGATCTCTGCATGTTGACATTCAGATGTACCCTTAGTCCGCATTTTTTCCCTCCCCAAGCAAAATAGATCCTAGCATACACAAACGTTACATATTCTTTATTTTTTCTTTTAATCCTGCACTAGAGGCAGGTCCACATTGAAGAATAAATCTACAACTGCTACCACCAAGAAGAACTGCTACATTTAGCTTAACTGGTTGAGATTTTGCTTTTAACATATCAGGCCCCAAGATTACTATAAATTAAAACAAAAGCAAAAAACGCTTTAATCATTTTGTATAATGGGGGCCAACCTTTTTGGCAGGTATACTACAAATTAGCTCTGTACCTTCCACAACTGCCACTCTGATCCCTTTCCTCTGGTAAGTCTGCTGCTTTGCTTTCTGCTCCTTTCTCTGTGCCCCTGACCAATCTCTTCCTCTGCTTTCTACTTCCTGTCCTGTGCTCCCTCCCGATCTCCTGATCTGCTTTCTGCTGCTGTGCTGCCTGTCTGTCCCCTCCACCATCTGCTGCAAGCCACACACAAAGGCTGCCTGTGCCACTTGTGGCTCTTGTGCCACAGATTGGCCACTTCTGATTTAGAACAAAGCCTTTACCTGTAAACTTTTTCCATTCCCCAACAACTTGTTCGCTTCCACTCCTACATCCCTTTACTATAGCAAATTACATTTTTTTCCCTATAGTGTTCCACTTAAACATAATTAATTACCAGAAGATAAGAGCATAATTAACTGCATAATGATGTTCATCCCAATTTATCATCTTTTGCTTATGCTGAAACACAACCAGGTTATCTGTATATCTAAGTACATAAACCCCTTACATGCCTCTCATCTTTCTGCCTCACTGTCTGTTTTATAGCTTAACTGTACCTGGGTCACTGCATACAAATTCTGTCTACTTTGTAACTAATGGCACCCTTTAACTGACTGAGTCAGAAACCGTGATGATGCAGCAGCTCTCCAGGCTGATATTTACAAGCCTTGAAAATGACAGAAGCTAGTAAAATCTTAGTTTATCTCCAATAGCAGCTCTAAAACTGTTGATTAGCCTTGAAAATGAAGAGAGCTAGTCAGTTCCGGGGCCCCTAATCCCATTGTGCTGTGTATTTAATAAGCACTGTTTATATTGAGTTTGGGTAAGTGCATACCCTGGGTAAATGGAGAGCTTCCCAAGGCTCTGTGTTTAAATGGAGTACACTCTAAAAAGAAGGGGCCTTCAATCAACTTTGAGAGCTAGACCTGTCTTGCAATTCATAGATGGTGGTCTTTCTAAAAGCTTTTCCAAGAGATGTACTTAAAAAAAAAAATGCACATAACCATGGTCATTTCAAGCATTCATATAGGGTTTTGCCCTTCTAGCTATTTGTAATGGATCATCAAATCACTGTCTGTTAGACAGCCCTTGTGATAGTGCCTTGATTTGTATTCAGCTCTATGTGTGCGCTTTGGAAAGCATATTTAGTTAGGCAAACTGATTTAAGTAAATGTGGGGCTAGAATCAAAACCATGGAGCTGAGCAAAATCAGTATTAACATGGTTTAGAATCAGAATGGGATGAGAGCAATGGCTCTGCAGTTAGCTAACTACACTAACTCTGAAAGCAGTGGAAAATAAAGACCTCTCTACTTACAGTCTGAGATGAGACAAAACCAGAACCCAACATCTAACCCACTTAGGATCTGCAAGGACTAATTCATGCCCATCCTGCCCCTTTCTCTCTTACAGGCCTGGGTCAGACACAAAATTGTAGAGAACCAGTTTTTCATTGTGGGGTCAACTGTAGCACAAGTCTGTTGGAAGTAGTTATCACTGGGGAAACTTCCATTATTTGGGACCAAAAAGTCTTCCCTGATCAATTGGTGAGATCTTGGTGCTGCTAAACTGAATCATTAAAATATGACCGAGGCTTGAACTAGACCCTATTTTAATCCTAATCCAACTCTGGACACCAACCCTGGGGCCCATCTTGACGTCTATCTGGCAATCCTGGTGTCATCTGAAATCAGAGAAGGCCTTTGCTATTGATTTCAATGAAGCCAGGATTTCACCCTAACATTTGCCACTAAAATGCAGCCATTTCTGATGACATATGTTAGTAAATAATACTCTGCCTCAAATCTCCTCTCACGAACTATTAAAGCTGATGTCTTGAGGTAAAAACAGAGGCAACACATTTAATCCCTGGAAAGAGAAATGTAGAATAAGAAATAACATTAAGGGAATTTCATTTGAACCTCTTCAGCCAGGACAAACAAGAGACCCTTCAGTCACCCTCCATTTATTGTCTTCCATGTAGTCAAATACCCCGCCAGCATTGCCTTTTGGGGTGATCTTTACACAAGTGCACTTAGACAGAAACAGCCATAAAATAATAAGATGCCAAACAATAAAAGCTAAAGACCATCCCATAAGATGCCATTTCACTTGGGCTGGCAAAAAGTGCAACCCTGTTCCCTGCTGAAAGTTCAAGCAATCTAAACAGCCACAAATACAGAGGTTCCTGGTTCCATCCAGAAAGAGCACACACCAACTGCTGCAGCTTCCTTAGCCTGACGAAGGGTTTTTGAACCCGAAAGCTTGCTTAATAACTATTCTCCAACTATTTGGGTTGGTCTAATAAAAGATATCAAATTCACCCAAGGAACCTTGTCTGCCTATATCCTGAGACCAACATGGCTACAACCTAAACCCCTACAAATACAGAGAGGCTTCTGACCTGTCACTGCAACGCTTAGAGGAACAAAAGAGGCCACGAAAAACAGGCTGACCTGGTTCTCCATTTTAAACAGGAATAAAATAGCAAGAAAACAAACAGAATACATATATAATCGAGGAATTATACACTTACACTCTGAAGGTTTATCATTGAATAGTGGAGGCCATATTTCACATGGCAGCAAACTTGTCCTGGTCTTGTAAAATGTCCAGTAGCACACAATAGCCTGCGTTCTTACAAAACTGCATCTTCAAAATGACTTCATGTCCAGGAAGTGATGTTGAGTCACATGGTCAGCTGAGGATGCCATGCTCCTGCATCATACTGTGGCATTACAACATTGCCACCTTATGATACATTCTGTATTCCTGAACAAATAGTTATCAAAGGACATGTTAACAGTGGCGGTTGGGAAATCCCTGCTTTATATACAGATTAGGTGCTTTCTTTAAAGTAATGGGGGCCAACCTTTTTTGGCAGACACGTCACACTTTAAACCCTATACCCTCCCCAAGTTCCACTCCAATCCCCTTCCCCTGCCTGATCCACCACTCTTCCTTTTTGCCCCCTGCTGCTCTGCTTTCTGTCCTATCTGCCACTGCACTGCCTGCCCCCTCCCCAGTGTGCAACATGCCCATGCCACTCATGGCATCTGTGCCACAAGTTAGCCTCCCACCTTTAAAGAATGGAACTTGCAGTGTAGTGTGCATAAATTATCATTAGGACTTGGATACTGTGAAAACTGTTTCTCTTTAAATATATCTTGAGTAGGCCTCTGATAAGGGCATGCTGCAAGGGTTATACTCAGGCTTCTGCGGTGAACTTGGATCAAGTGAAAGTAGATTCTAGCACCATTTAATACACTCGTGCCTTTGACAATGGGAAAGCAGTAGCATTTGTTCCTTTTGTCTGAATGATGAGTTTCCTTTTCAATCATTTTTAGGATAATTTATTTTATTACTAGAAATGGCTAAACTGTTGTGGCAGACATTTTTCACAGAAATTCAGCCTGGGGCAGACACCTGGCATGGAAAACTTCAGCTAAAATAGTCCAAATGTGTCAGTAACAAGCAACTGAAAATGGGGCTTTGTAAGGGGAACATGAAACAACCCTAACTGGCAGTCCTATTAGCCCCTGCGGTACTGGCAGTAGGAGCACTGTACTTAAGGTAAACTGTTGGCAAAACATCTTGAAACTGGACCTGGGATAGCTGAAAACAAGCAAGTGCTTCCCTCCATATGTCTAGAGATATTATATGCACAGGTATAAGTGAGAGAATGAAGGGGGAAAGATTTAGCACAAAGAAAGATTTTATTGGCATGAGCTAACAACTGCCATACTACCTGGATGTATGAAGCCAGGACTAAGATTGTCAGGTTGTTCCAAATAAAATATGCATGTGGCACAATACTTACTGAAGATTAGAGAAGACTAGAAGGGGACTTAAGAGCTCAATGACCAAGCAGAGGGAACTCAGGGTCCATAGATGCTCAGTAGTGACATGCTCTAGAAGGATGGTTTGAATCTCCTATGCCCATTTCTGGGTTCTAAAGTTACTCACTGCTCAGGGGAAGCACCTGGATATCACTGGGGATACCTCGGTGATCATCATACACACTCCTGGAAGATGACCATTGTGAGAGATGGAGCAGCATGTTGCAGGCATAACTAGACTGTCACCGCTCCAGGGGGATTTGTGTCTTGCTATGTTTAGCAAAAAGTACCTCCAGTTACTGGGATAATATGAATATTTAAATAATGATAAAGTACAGAATCCTTTAACAAATGGTGCTCATCACATTGCCATGCATATCTTATGTGGGAATACACAGATGCAGGCTACCATGAAAAAGTCAGCATTTATCAACAGCTACAGCAAAAAGGTATTCAAGAAACTGCAGTGTTTTCCTAGAATTAAAAGAGGGACTGGGGGGAGGCAAAGAAAGAACTGTTGTATCTGGCTTGATTTTTTGAAGCAGATATAGTTGATGTGCTTTTGGACTGTCCAAGCATAAAATGTGAGTAACTATATTTGTTAACTGGGACAATAATTTGCACCCACCCCTTAAGGAATAACACTTAGGGACAAACTTCTAGGAGGATGCACAAGGATGTAACAGCACAATAATGGCTAAGGACAAATTCTTGGATTACAAATGGATCCCTTGTGTGCCAGGGATCTAGAAAAGTGAGACACTGCTCTTACTCGCACAGTTCCTTTCCATCAGAATGAACCCCTGCCATTTCCCTAAACTTGGATACTTGGATTGTTTGCCCAGTACTGAGAGAACTTTCTGAAGTGAATGCCTTTCAAACTTTCTACACGAGCAAGAACAACTTTTAGAAAAGAAAATAAAGACTAATTTTAACTGCAACTGCAACGAGAGATGGCTGAATCCAGAAGTTGGAACTGGGACAGGCAGAGTCAAATTTAGTCCCAGACTTGTAGCATCTCTATGCTCTAGGTTCTTGGGTCATGTTATCACTGGAACTTCCTCTTCTGCACAAAGCCTGAACCAGCAGTGGGCGGAATGAACCATCCCATGCATCTCAATGAGATGTTGACTGTATGATCCCATCCTGTTGCTTGTTCCCTCCCCTGCTGGTTGGGGAAGTCTCCTCCTGGGATTACACTTGGTATAGATGGGGCCACAATGCAGGAGTGTGGCAAGAGGGCTAGAAGGGCCCTATTTTATGGTGTTTATAAGGACTAGACTGCCTTGACCCAGCCCATGGGTTACAAAACCAAGAATAGCAGAGTAACTACTGTACTAAACAAATTGCCATGGAATCTTTACTGAAAAGGTCTTAGTTTCACATCTCATTCAAAAGGCAGCCTCACTTCTTTGCCCATACTACCCAAAAACTCTGCCCTGTGAATGCTTTGGTTTGGGGACTAAAATGCCTTTTTTATGAATGAGGCCCTAAGGTACTTTGACCCATAACCTGTGTTTCCTTTGATGCACCTTGAACAATCAATGCAGACTTTTCAGCACACCCTATGCCCTTGGCTGCTGCTAAGATTTTGGCTGCATGTGTGGGTCACAGATCAAAATACCACTTGGAATCTAAATGAGATGCATGTAGGTCGATGTCTCTAATAACTGCAGTCTTCTATGCAACAGTACTTAAGGGTCATTCAAAGTTGGTAGGTCCAAGACTGAATAGCTATAAGTATATTTAAGAAACTGCTTTCACAGCTTCAGTTTGGGAAAGGTTTGAGTTGTTACAGTATGAAACTGGAAGTAAGGACTCCTGGGTTCTAATATGCCGTGCCACTTCTTGGTTGCGAGTTGTCCACACTTGCACAATAAATAAATCTGTGCCTCAAGCTACTACTATTTACATATCTCACAGGGATTATAAGGATTGATTAATGTTTGCAAAGAGATCTGAGCTCTAGGGAAGAAAGAAGGCAGAGAAATGAAAAGTCTGTTCTGCAGTCTAGGCTGCAGCATGGATCTTCCTGGCAAAACAAAGTAGTGCCTGATATTTTATCTGTACTGGAGTAGCACCAACACAGCAACAGTTTTAAACATATTTCTTACCAGACTCCCCTGTATATCAGGATGACCCCAGGACTCTCCCTCACGTACCTGGAATCCTTCACCCATCTAGCAATGGGGGGGTCCTGTCCTTCCTAGGTTGAGAGCCTCTCATGAGAAGACCCCAATCTGAGATCAAGGTGTAATTGAGATAGGTGCTGTTGGCATGTAATAAAAGAATTATCTGTCACATGCTTAAACTGGTTTAAGCACATAACTTGTACTTCTTGTACAAGCATGTACTTGTAGATCTAACTACAACTTGGTCTTCCTTCAATATGAACTGTTCTTCAGAGACAAATACATTCCTGAAAGTACTTGTGTGTATAAAGTATAAGGAATGCCTCTCTCAAAGCCAATTATTTAAGCACCAACCTTGATACCATCCCATTAAGGACTGAGATAAAATATGAGATTCATGATTTAAGTAGATTTTTCTTTCTTTTTTTTTATTGAGGGGCACCATAACTCTCCTTTTCTTTGTCTAAAAAGGAGGCAGGTCCACAAACTATTTCCTTCTCTTTTATGATAAGGAATCTGCTTCCAAAAGGATAAGAATCACTTACATGGCATCCAGTACTGCTTTTTTATATATATTTGCCCAGAAAATAAATATAAGTCCTGTATCCCTGACCTCAATCACAGTCAGTCTTTGCAGTAGTCAGTATTGCTACATAATTCATTTTTAAAGTACTTTCCAAAATAACAAGTTCTTAATCATGCACATGTGGTGATGGGTTTTATATCAAGGAAAGAGATTTTAGAATAGCTCCCTGAAAACTTCAACCCAATATTCAGCAGCAGTCAAAAAAGGCAAATAGAAGTTTAGGAATGATTAATAAGGGAATTGAAACAGCAGAAAATGACATTTATGCCACCATATAAATCAACCGTATGCCTTGTATGCCACACCTTGAATACTGCCTGCAATTCTGGTCCCTCCACCTCCAAAAGGATATATTGTATAGCAGAAGGCAGAAAAGTCATAGAGAAAGAACATGACTGGGGCATGGAGAACCTTTTGTACAAGGCGAAACTAAATACGTTAGGACTTTTCAGGTTTAGAGAAAAGTTGACTGAAAGGGGATATGATAGAAGACTATAGAAATAATGAATGGCATGGAGAAAGTGAACACAGGTTTGCTATTTACTATCTCTCCAAATACTAGAATTAAAAGACACACAATGGAATTATAAGAAAGCAGGTTTAAAACAAACTAAAGGAAGGTTTTTTCATGCAGTGTGTAATCAACTTGTGGAACTCATTGCCATAAGATGCTGTGGAAGTTCAAAAGGAGATATGACAAATTCACAGAGGACAGGCCTATCAGTGGGTATACTAAACACGAGTGGGGTGCAACTTCAAAGTTAGGATTTCCTAGTCCTCTTTATGCTGGAAGGTGTAATGGAAGAGGGGCAGGGGATGGATAATTCTGGATATGTCCTTAAACACTTTTCCACTTAACATTGCCTCTTTGCCATTGAAAGAGAGGGTAGTGGGCTAGATAGACCTATAGAAGTTCTTATGCTATGTTAATCAGGCCTTCAAAGATGCTAATTCATATACAGCCACTTCTAGTGTAAAATAAAATATGAACAGCATACAGCTACACCGCAGTGAGCCCAAGGTACCAAAAGAAGTGACTAGGAAGGGGAAGGAGGAAATATGATGTGGAGAGATCAAGGATTGGGAAAAAAAAATCTTTCCCAAGACTGATTTGTGTACAGCTTTCTAGAGATCCATATCATGCTGACTCTGCCCTGCAGCGATCTGACACACACTTAACTCTTGGCCAAAGAATGCCAAGAGAAATGAGGGCTTGCATCATTTCCTCCTTTACAGTAATTAACTGTTGGAAACTACTCTGGCTGGGCTGGGACTGAGGAATGGAGAAGTGGGCCTGAACAAAGACAGAAGAAAAGGCAGTGTTACAGAAGAGATGCTGTATGGTTCATTTTGCCATATGCATGCAAACACCACAGCCACACACATCGAGGGCATGCTCAGACGAGTGCAGATGTGTGATATGCAGCACCACAGACCCACCTACAGTGCCACACACCATGCACAGGCATTCCCCACGCTGCTACTTTGCAGTGCAGGGTGGGGGGGGCTGACCCTGGGAGACCCTGGGGCAGAGTGGATAAAATGATATCGATTCTTTTAAGAAATAAAAAAAAACCAACAGATTTTTTATTTAAATCATAATTTTTGGTTTAATTATATTTTAAGATGTTTTAAAATAACATAAAGTTAGTTTTGATTTAAGATATGTTAAAGCTCAAAGATATCATAACTGAATAGGGATTATAGCTTCTAATGATATATTGAGACAATATATTCATGCAACCTTTTTAGAAATTTTATAAATAGGTCACAACAGGCTATGGACTATATTAGAGGCCCAATCTTATCGGGGTCCCAGAGGCTCCTCTATAGATTAGTAAAGATTAAAGAAAACCACCCTACCCAATGGGATTCAGCGATCAGTCTAGAAGATCACATTAAGCAGCTCTGTGATGCTTAGGTTCAGTTCTCAAACTGTGGATTTGTCTCTCCAGAGATCATGGACAGACAAGGTTCTTTGGGTAGATGTTGTATCTTGTATTAGATTAACTAGATAGTTGGAAAAATTGTTTTTTTTGCAAGTTTTGGGGCACAAATACCCTTTTTCAGGCATAGGGAGAATTTGTCGTCTCCAGAGATAACATCCTTGTTAACAGCAGTATATGGAGATAACAGATAACAGACCTGATTACCTACCCATCAGCCCTCTTGTCTCTCTACAAGTTTGTGTACACACAGACAAATCCTTACCTTTCCCCACAAGTTCAAAGTTTCAAGTAGTCAAATGAATAAAGGATATCAAACAACTAAAATGCACTTTTTATAGAAAACAATGATTAAATAGAGGCTTCCTGCCCAGTGATGTAAATCATGATTTAATTTGATTTGATTTAAATCAAATCCATCCTGTCCTGGGGTCAAAAAAACCCATGCCTTAAAAAAGTGGGGCGGTGCATATGGTGGCAGTGCACACTGCCCCAAGCCAGAGCCTGGCCACTCCAGCGGCTGGCCAGGCTTCCTGCTGCAGTATTGCTGCAGCTCCCAGAGGCCCCCAGGTAAGGCTACTGGGGCCAATACAGTTGCTGGCCCCAGCCTTCCCCACCCCACCCAGGGTAAGGTGATGTGCAAGGGTGTGCCGCTGCTCCTTGTCCCTGGGGTAACACATGTTCCTGCTTGTGGGCATATGTCCCATGAGGCAGTCTATGCTCCCAGTGCATCCAGGTACTTAAACATGGGAGTAGTCTCAGTGAAGCCAGGAAGGGCTATGCTAGAGTTTTAGCATTCAGCAGTTAGGTCAGGGGCGGGCAATTATTTTGGGCAGAGGGCTGCTTACAGAGTTTTGGCAAACCATAGGGGGCCGCATGACAGGCAGCCAGGGGCAGCTAAATATTCATTTTCTACACTTCTTAGGGGCCCCACGGGCCCAATAGAATGGCCTGGCAGGCCGCATCCTGCTCACAGGCTGCATTTCGCCCACCCCTGAGTTAGGTTCTAATTCAACTGTCATAACCCAAGGGTATAATTTTGTGTGCGCTTCGGCACCAGAATTATTCCCTCTAAATTACAGCTTCGTTGCACGGTGGAGTTTTCTGCTGCAGAGGAGAACCCTGGTGCAAGGGACAATTTCCCGCCAATTTGTAGCTTTATTTGCAGGGTGCATTGCTCAAGTTGCAAGAGAAATGCACGGTGCAAAGGAGTTCCCGCCACCCGCATGCAAATTTGTTCCCCGCTATTGGCTAGTTCTAAATTATTCCCACGTGGCGGCTAATTCAGAGGAGTTTGGCGACCTGATCCATCGCCCACCTCTTCCCGTCTTCAAGCGATAATTTTATAAGACGTATCTACGAAGTGTCTATTTCGGCGGCGCGCTTGTCCAGGGCATCCGGAGCTCTGTTTCCGTGGAGCCTAGCAAACTCCACGTGGTCGTTCGTGTTGTTTTGTCTGTAACCACAACTCAAGCAAGTTTTCCAGCCTACACCGCAACCTTCTTCGGTGTAAGTAAACAATCTTTAAATCTACCATTACGAGTCCGTGCCTAATTCTAGCGTGTCGCCCGTTCTCTCCGACCCCGCATGCCCGGTCTGCTGGCCACAGCCCGCGCAGAGCACAAAAAAGGGCCCGGCTCGCGCCCGGCCCGCACATCAACAAGGTCCTTAAACACATTCCTGACCTGTAATATATGAGCAGTCCCAATAACTTCAGCAAGATGTTTAAGCACCTTTCTGAATTAGGGCCTTAATGAATGTCCACTGTACATGACCACCCATAAGTCTTAGGACCTACATACAACCTGGCATAATCCTGTTAAAACAGGGATGTTGGCTTTGGTTTCTGCCTTGTGTAGCTCAGATGGGTCCTTGGAGCCATTCTGTTCTCCAAACCCATTATTTTGGAGGCAATTGTGAATGGAGCCTGGTGATGATGACTTTATTTGCCTTGGGTGTGTGCATGTGCATACATTTGACTCACATTTTGTCACATTGACCTTGACTGTTAAAAACCCTGTATATCTTGCCAGGCAGGCAAACTGGAGGCAGAAGAACAGAACAGGCTGTGACCTTTTGAGATCAGCACAAAGAAAAGTATGTCCCATAACGCTATGTCAGTCAGACACTGCTGTGAGTTTCATTAATAAAAGGATCCTTGAGCCTGCAGGAGGAGATGGGTATAAATGACTGAACCAAGTATTTAAAAAAACAAAAAACAAACCCTAGCTGATGCTTGCTGTGACTGGTCCTTTGCTTAACTAGCCCAGTGTGGATAAAAATCAATGATTTTTTTTTTAAATAATGCCCCCCTCCCCCCCCCATTTTTAAAATTGTAAATGTTTTTTTGATTTAATATTTATTTTTATTTTTTGTTATGATGCTTAAAAAAACCCAACCTATATAAAGATAGTTTTAATTTAAGATATGTTAAAAGCACAAAGATATTATCATGGAATAGGGATTAGAATTTCTAATTACATACTATATGAGACAATATATTCATGTAACCTTTTTCACAGTGTTATAATTAGGTCACAACAGCCCAAGGACTAATATTAGGGGCTCAATATTATGGGGTTCCCAGAGGCTCCTCTATACATTAGTA